TTGACGGCGACTGACTAGTCACCATTGCTGGACTCTTTCCATCCTTACCCCCCCCCGGTCTCACCTACATTCTCGCCTTAATAGTGATGTGCAAACTGTTGTGTATGGAACCGTCCGTGAGTAGCAACTCGTAACGTACGCAACAGGGGTAGGGGCGTAACTGGGGTATTTTGGGTCAGGCCATTCCTTTACTGTCAGACTTTGCAAACATCCCACAAAGCAATGATGCATAAATAGTCGGGTGAAATTGTCCGTTGTGAAAGATCGGCTCCACCTTGCGTGATATTTCTTTCAGTGTAAAATTTTTCAAGGCACTCACGGCATGGTTTGGTGGAAAAGGGAACTTAGGGGAGAGTTTGCAACTCTACCACGTCAACAAAGTGTCTCTCCTCTCGGGTAACTCGGGGAAAAGGGCGTTGAATCTCACAATGACCATTTTCTCAACAAACTACATGTGGTGAAACCTGTGCAAGTCCTATGCCTGGAGATGAACGAATGGGGTATTGGTTAATGTTCGAGTGAGTGTTTTGACTTAAACGCTGCATCGAAATTGGCAGCACGGTGTTGCGCATAAAATGGAAGGGATATTTATAATATCATGCATTTAGTTGTGGGGTTAAAGCGATCTCAGGACCCTGCATCTTTGGCATATCTCGCCTTGTGTATAAGCGTGGACTTACGCACAGGGGTACTGCAGCCCTACATACGTGTTTACGAGGTTGAGATTAGGCTCACCCTGGGTCTCCGATTAACCTCCTCATAATGGCATGATACTTGACGACATATCTCGGGGAAAATTCAGAGTCTCTACACCTAGCATGAATGAACCGCTCCCAGACCGGGTGCCTGGTATCCTGATCATTCGTCTTTATCAGCTCCGAAAAGGAGCTACAGCATGACGAAGAGGGGAATGAATCACGCTGAGTGAAAACAACCTACAGGAGTTCTCTAACATGCCCCACTGAGGCGGCGGCTGAAAACTGAAAACAGCTGAAGTGGAAGATTCCTCGTGGCCTCTCGCGATTTGTGTGAAAACAGACTTGCTCGTCTAGAGCTCATTGTCACTGGACAAAGTGGGGGGACCATGGAGGAAGATGATGCCCTTGTAGTAAAATGCAGATCAAACAAAGATAGGAATGAAGGTTGGGAAGCTGGAGCCATCCAGACATGGAATTGCATAGGCAAACTCAGAGGGAAGTCGCGGTCAAAATGGCGAGTGGGAGAAGGTTTATTGAGTACGTGGTCTGTTTCAATGACCATAGTGGCAAGCTGCATAACACCGACTCGTTGCTAGAGATGGTGGAGCAGGCTAGGGCAAAGCTTGGGTAAGCGCCAAGAATACACAAATGTACCTTTCAGCTTTTATCGCCAGGCAACCAAAAGTTTCCTCAGCACTAACACTTAGTCACTGAAATTGTCAGAGAGTCTCAATAGAAAAATCAATCAGCAATCAATCATCATCCAAGCAGCAGTCATTTGTTCAGAACACTCGAGACGAGATTTTCAGTCAGAAACACTCGGCGTTGTTATAAGTGAGTAGTACTCAGCGCTGTTATCAGTGAGCAGTATTCATTCAGTATCCATTCAGTATCCATTCAGTATCCATTCAGTATCCATTCAGTATTCATTCAATATTCTTTCAGTATTCATTCAGTGTTTATTTAGTATTCATTCAGCATTCAATTAGTGTTTGAACAGTATTCAGTCTATATTCGATCAACATTCAGTCATCCGCGTCACGCAAACCTTCTAATCAGAACTAATCAGCTTCAATACCCGACTAGCACATGAGCACAGTTCAGTCATTCCCGGTCGAGGAGTCGGTTTTGGCCAGTCTCAATCGGATCGCTTACAAAGATGCTTTCCAGCTTCGATATGTCAGTGGAACCGGCTTCAAGCAAGGTGAACTATCAATCTTTGTGGTTCACACTAAGTTCGCTGAGGGAACCATTCATGACCTGACACCCTATTTAAAGAAAGGGAAAGAGATCCATGAGCACTCCGATTCAGTCTGGATTGCAGCAGCCAGGTATCTCGAGGAGAGAGAAAAAGAGCTTGAYGAGGGTGGGGCAAAGYTGATCCGTAGCTTCGGGCCGAAACTCTRCTCTGAGTATCCCAGACCTCCAGTTCCCTTCCTTCTCACARACGGGTTCAGGTGGCTCTACATCCWGAGACCACAAGCTCAGGGAGTACAGAGACTTGGCCGGAAGCACAWGAGACATGCAGCAAAATAAGAGATTGAGTGTGAGATTCAGAGGGATGAGTGAGAACTCTTGACTAGTGCTGGTCCTGCTCTCTGCATGTGTACTCTCTGAGACTATTATAAGTTCTCATTCTTCCGTCATTTGCCCTTGTCTTTGCTCGAGTCAATCAGTCTTGTATGGATTACATCGTTTTGCTTGGTGATCATGTTCTCTGATAATGCTGTCATAGTTCTCAAAGTTAGTAAATTGGCAAACTAATGCATGCATGACATATCAGCATTTTGTGATTATTATTTGCATGATTCTTTGCTGTTCCGAATCAAAATAAAAGATTCCTAAGACCGGGGACCGGTGAAGCCCGTAATTGAAGGGTCTCGCTCGAAGTCGGACGCACACAACAGGAAGGGATTTGCTTTAATTAATTTATTTTATTTATTGCAAAAACAACCAAATCCTGTGTGACAGCCTGTTGGCTTTCTGGTCGCCTGAACTGGCCCGACTAGAAAAAGTGTGACACCGTGCGTGCCCCAGCCTACCTSCATAGCGCAGCTTCKCACGMCAATGCAGCAGCGTGSYTGCAATGCCTGCACAGGCCAGAATGCCCTCCCACTGGGGCACACACTTTCCTTTATGGAAAGTGTGCCCGCTGCTGGCTGGCCTGGCCAAGCGTGTGGGGGGCCCAATCGCTTGCTTCCGACCTCAAGTGTCTGTGCC